TAAGTAATTAATTACTTGTTTTAAATACATTAAATTGAAATATTGCCCATCTCTGAGCTCAATTATATGAACTAAATTATACAAATTGGTATGCTATTGCAAATACAAAATCCTTACTGACTTGGTTCATTATAGTTATTACAGTCTACTCCACATACAGTAAGATTTTTTGACATCTTAAGTATAATGCATTGTCTGACAAAACCCAGTTTAGCCCTAATTAGGCGTTCCTCTGCAAGCTAAAAAGGTTGAGCACTAAATCTCAAGCTCTCATAGGCTTTCTTAAAATACAGCGGTCTTGAAAACCTACCCAATTATTACATGCAGCTTTGGAGTTTGATGGGTTACTAAACTTGTTTATTTCCAAAAAGCATCAGCCAGTTTTTTTTGTTAATGAGCCCCAGTGCAATAAAGTATGGTACAGAACTTTCACTACCTATTTTCACATAACATGGTTAAAGCCAAGTGAAGCAGTGTGTAGGAGTGAGTTGCTGTGAATTTGACTTTGTTATTAGTCCAACTGTGGGTAAATAAAAACTGGAATTAGGCAACATTCGAAAAAGTCCCCCTGAGGAAAGGGCTGTCAGACTTAAACAGGCTTATGTTTGACACTTGGATAGCACATCATTTGACACATTTCATAGAGAACATTTAGACAAGTCCTTAACCTTAGTTTCATTGCTTAGCTTGCCTACAGCCAGGATGACTGCATATGGGGAATTATTTTGAATGAATTACAAATAAGGCAATTTGCAAAACTCGCCACATGAGATGACAAAGCCGAAGACCTTTTAGACTCTGGTTAATTAAAATCAGTGGGTTACATTTAAATAAATTACGATTAATTGTAAATTTGACACAATTTCAAAGAGAAAAAATATACATTTTAATCAGACAAATACTAGATTTTGCCTACCTCAATGGCACAATGTTTTTTGAATTGAACTAAAGGCAGAAGTGTTCATCATTAGCAACTTAATTTTCCCAAAAAAAAACAAACATGTTGTATAAGTAGCATGACAGGATCAGATGCTAGTATATTGTACATGTATATGGTGAGAAAGACTTAGACCAGTAATAGTATGCATTACTTGATATTTCTTCTAAAAATGTTAATTATAGAAGATAATAACCAATTTATACTGCATGCTAATAAAATTCTTTTTCATCCTGTAACACAACTAACACACAAAAAGTTGATGTGCCAGTTGGATATCCTTCTTTTGCTTGCAGACAACGTGGATGTGGAAGAGGAATATATATATATAGAAAATAAAACACACAGTGCTTAACATATAGTATAAAATACAAACATAAAAATAAAGTATAAGTATAAATACACAAACACATACATACATGCATGATACATGGACGAAAATTAAAGCATATGACTGTAACTTGAAATTAATTTGAGCACCACAGCTTTCATTCCTCCTGCTACTCTCTCCCCTATCCTGTCTGTTATTCCTTCTGCTTTGGAGGGTTAAATGATTTGAGAGATTGCTGGCAGTGGCAGTAAAGCATGCTGACAGTGGGAGGCACGAGGGCTCGCATGATAGGTGGGGGCAGCCGATTGCTCTGCTAATGTTGCTGTGATGCAGCCGTTTGACAAAGCACCTCAGATATGGGTCTCAACTCCTGACCTGATCAAATCCCAGAGAAATAACCCAACACCTCCAGATGACAAAGGACCAAGCAGCGTCTGTATGAAACTGGTTTACCCACTAAAAAAAAATCCAGCAGTTTTTTTTGTATGTATGCAAAATGCATCATGAAATATAATTTTAGGTAGGATCTTGCGGTGTATCATACAATTATACAATCTATATGATCATAAACATACAAAAACAAGCACTTCCTATGCAATATGGTAAAACAAACACACATATTCATTTATAGTAACTGGCAGAACAAAATATTTTAGTAGCGGAATCTGGTATTTTTCTGTCAGAATGAAAGAGAATGATGCATCGATGAAGCCTTTAGGAAATTCTGTCTCCCAATGGGATGTTTTTACATTGTTTGGACTAAGCTTACACTGATGTGTAATGCAAGGGAACTGGCACAACCTTCTCAAAGGCTCACATTAGGTATATAGCCTTGGTGCATTTATCAACATTACAAATTTCACTTGGCATCTCAGTGTACCCCACTGGGCCTTGATTGTAGAGCTATAAGATGTGAATTTCAAACAGAGAAATCACAAAATGTGCCAGGCAGGAAGCGGAATGGAATTGATGTGTTGTTGAATGTGTTGATTATAAAATCCCAAACAAATGTTACTGGGGATCAGAATTCTCATTTGTTTAATTAAATGCTGTAATAAATTTATGACAGTACATAAAAAGTTAGTTACTGTGTTTTAGTTTTTCATATGAGCTGCAGTGAGAAGGCAAAAAAGCCTTTACACACCTGGTACGTGATGAATAAACAACACGGAAATACGGAATACTGGCCTGCAAAAATGTTGCATCCAAGCTATTCATACCGGCAGCGATATGCGAATTTGTGACCCAATAAAATAGAAAATTAAATCCACACACACTTACCGCAGACTAAGCAAGACAGGGACTTGTGAAAAAACAGCTTGCAGATCTCCTGGGGGTCTCGGGGGTCTCGGGGGTCACACAACACTGCAGCCCCAAACGGCTCATGGATAGAGAGGTCACATTCACCGGGTCCATCTCTGTCCAGGGGCTCCAGTCCGTAATGATGTTAAAACACCAAAGTCACACTAACAATAACTCTGCACTCTGAATATGAGGCTGGAAGCTGGGGTAAACAGCTGGCCTTGTACACTCAGAGTTTTAAAAATCAGTCTAATCGCACCTCTAAAGCTCAGATACAATATTTGTCTGCAATCAATGTAGTCTGTGTTGAAAGATACTATTTGTGCTTCTTGGAAACATATAAAAGAACACTGCAACCTTTGTGGTTGTGCGGGCTCATCAGAAACAAAGATAGCTGACTAGAGTCACAAAGGACACATGGAAGGGATTGAAATCCTGCAAGATCACAATTAACACAATGCTAGTTGGTTCTAAATGTTTTTCTTTTTTTCATTAAATAAAATAATTACAGTAAAGGATGCAAACATGACTTGAAGCATTCCAGCAATTGTGGTCTTTAGACCCTGTAATGGTAATTTTTAAGAACTTATTCAATCCTTTGACCTGGTCATTGTAAAACCATATATGCATATAACCTTTAGCCTTTAGTTTCTAACAACACTCTATGTCCAAGTAAACAGCAGAATGTTGAGCCTTTACTAAGAAGCCCAGACATTATCATTGCACTCCACTATGAGTGACCACTGTTAATGAGCTGGAAGGACGGGGTTTAACTGTCTGAGGTATCTGGTTTTTTTCTGATGTTACAGAACATGTTTGAGAGTCAAAATGTTTTTCAGCATTAGCAGTTTTGTTCAATAATTCATCACTGAGTGATTCATTGAGTTAATAACAGACAGCAGTTGTTGTCTGCAGTATGAAGTCTTTTTCTTATTTGTCTCAATAACCAGCTCAAATATAATCATCACTATTTTAAAGGTTGGATTTTTTTCAGTTTGTTTCATCAACTGCCAAAAATGGAAAGACTTCCTTTATATTGCATAATGTACAAAACAAGAAATTCAAGCTTCCAGTGAACTATTGACACTGCAGTACCAAGAATCTGATTGGCTATTTGTTGGGAGTGTGATAAAAAGGGAATGTGGTAAGGTAGTAAAATAAGGCTCATAGCAAATTTGACAATTGATATCTGTGTATCAAAAGCACAGAGTGATTCTCCTCTCAAACTACTGCAGTAGAGTATACAAGGCAGAGCATATGGAGCCTAACAGCAAAGAAACACTGCAGGCAGACTTTGATACATTTGATATTTCTGAAGAGCTTGGATTTCTACTTAAAGAGCCACTGGTAAGTTTAGTATTTTCTTTTCTAACAGACATTCCCTGACTGTATAGTTCCTTGTGTATTGAATCAAAATAGATCTGAGAAGAATAGAAGATGTCGTAACAAGGCTCTACATACTGAACAGACAGAGACATTTTTGTTTACCTTTGAGGAATATTTTCTCTTTATTTATTGCCTTTGTTTAAGTAGTTAGTCAGCAGTCCCTCTGCCCTAAAACAGATTAGTAGGTTTGTTTTTGAGGAAGGTTATTGATCCAGTGAAAGTCTGTCTCTTCAAGTTTCCATTGAGCCATTCACATGACTGAGCCTGCTCCCTATACATTATACAGTTCATTACTCTTCACAGAATCACAGATTCTTTTATGTATTAGGAGACATTTGGTAGAAATAAAACAGTATTATGGTCTCTTACAGTCTCTTATGAAAATGATGGATTTGTAAATGTTGCAAAACTTACATATCAGCATTAGCGTTATTTAAAAATTGTAAAAAAATGCAAAAAAATGTAAGCTGAAGAATTAAACATTGGCATTAAGCACAGCCTACTTGTCTGTTTATACAGGGATTTCCCATCTGGGCATCCCCTGTTTTCTGTTTAGCAAAATTCCTCAGTTTTCTACTGCCTCCTTGTTGAAATTGCTTTCTCTCTCTGATTGATAGCTCCAGTCATTCCCTGACATGCAGGTCAGGCACCATAGCAAACATGAGCTGATGATATTACTGATTAAACTCTACATGAAAATCCCCCATGCAAAAAAACAATCAAAAATCAATGGGCAAGTCATTTTATTCTTATTATCATCTAGAGTAACCTTCCAGACTATTATCGGGTGTGGATAGACCTGGCAAATAATCTCACACATCTGATAGAATCACGTAAACTACGGGATCTGGTTCATAAGGTGAGAATGAGTAAATCCTTTTGAATGCAAATACTAAGCGCAATCAGAGTTAAGAACCCGTGCATGTAAATGTGGATATACAGTTTTATTTGTAGAAGCCTTGATGGTGTTCACTGTTCCTGAAAACGGAAATATAAAAATAGAAAATCTGATCACAATACAGATGCTGGTCTTGAGTCCCCATCTCTTGAGTAACCATCGGGAGCTCAGGCTGGCCCACCTAGCCCTGGGATTCATCAGCATGGGATATGTATGGCAGGAAGGACAACACGCACCTGCTCAGGTAAAACCCAACAGTGCAATGGAACGAGGGATTGTAAAAATCTATGATGATGTATATGTATGCTAGCGTCTCTGTGAGGCTGTCCTTGAACTTACTGCTAATGTCAGCATGCAAACATGCTGGTGTTAAGGTGTAATGTATACAATGTTTACCATCTTAGTTTATATTGTTGGCACTTAACACAAAGTACAGCTGATGCGGATGTGATTAGCTTTGCAGGTTCTGTGTTTGACCATTAACAAAAGTGATGGAAAAATTAAACTTTTTGACCTCATGATGGAGTCCCAGGATCACCAAAGTCATTAGGATACATCTAGGGATGGGAATCAAGAACCAGTTCCAGCTGGGAACAAATTCAAAATAGTCAAGTCCAACGGAATCGTATCCTCCATGCTAATCAATTACTTTTATCAATGCTGGCATGTTTTTCTGACAGCTGCGTAACAATAATGTCAAACTCATATGTCTACGCTGCTGGAAGCTTGCAACAAGAAGGAAACATGGTTAGGGGTAGAAACGGTCCACAGCGTTGCTTCATTTCACGAAGAGAGATGACAACAGTGCTAGCTGTAATGTCTGTATAATGATTCTGATGATGCCATGTATTTGAAACTCTGCCACTGCTTCCCAACCAAGTAGCACGTCTATTACTGAGGGTAAATATGTTATAATAACATTAGCCCCACAGTAAGGCAGCTGTGGCAGATTTTTTCTTTAACTAAGAAAACTTAGATGAAAACAAATACTATACAAATGTTCTCTCATTTGATCTATTTTAGATGATGGTATAAAGGTTCTGTCATGCATCCTTGTATCCTACTCTGTTTCTTTTCACATCCAAAGATAATACAAGAGTTAAAATATTATCAATTCCCATCCCAGATGCTCAGAAGTTTAACAGGTAAGTGATAACTTGTGACCAACTAGTGGTGCATGATGAACAGTCAGGGGAATCAACAAATTCAGTAGGATTCATCCGCTGGGCAACAAAATTTCATCACGATTCATCTAGTAGTTGTTGAGATATTGCAGTCTGGACCAAAGTGGTGGACTGGCTGAAAGTGGTGGAAAGACAGCCATTGCCAACCCTGGAGACATACCACGCTAGCTAAAACTCTCTGAAATCTCAGCAAGGCAGCACTACTGGACTGAAACTGTACTATTATGGTTGTTTGACAGATTCTCCCCAAATCTCTGGCCTGGCCCTATTGGCTAGTGTCTCGTAGGCTCGGTCTTCCACCCATCCTGACTTATGCAGACTCAGTTTTAGCCAACTGGAAACTGAAGGATCCAACAGGGTGAGTAATGTTGTTTTTTTTGCCTTATTTGATGTCCATTATCCACATACTGTCCTTTATTATAATAGTAAACAATACAATAAAAATTTACAGTATATCTAAATTCACCCACATAAAAAAGTATTTCTTTCACCAAGAAAACACTTGTCCATCTTTTCTTTCATTTTCATGTTAGGGATATGGAAATTGAGTGAGTAGAAGGCGTTATTCACTAACGTCTCATTTGCACTTTCACATGATTTTTGCAGTCACACAGTCATATGATGTCTAACTCATATAGTTTCAAAACATTACTTTATTTTGAAATAGGAACATGGACTTGATATTTTCCTTTCCTGGTGGTGAGAGTTGCAGAGGATTTTTCATAGTGTCATTGTTGGTCGAGATGGCTGCCAGTTCAGGCATAACGGTTAGTATTGGCCGCTCTTCCTCTTTTTCATGTTAACTCTTTCTGAACCTCAGCCTGATGATGCTGTCTGTCCATTTAACCCCTTCCTTTTCTTGTGTCCCATCCACATACTGTGTGTGTCCAGGGGGCTCTGGAGGTGATGCGTGCTATGAAAATCTCGGACCTCATCGGCATACAAAAAGGTCTCGTCAAAGTAACTCAGTCTTTGAAGAAGATGAAGGAAACTTTCAAACTCATGCATAGTAAGTTTGAATTAAACCTAGCCCAATCTGAATGTAATCAATTTACACGCTGAGCCTTTTATGAAAGCAGGGAAATTCAAAGTAATTAGAATAACTGATTTTGTTCTCTTTCCAGATCATGTGGATCCAACTGCGTTTCATGGAACATTTAGAATTTTTGTTTCAGGGTGAGTTTTAGAGCCGTTACAATTTCCTGCATACTGAAGGTATTAATTATTTTGATAAAACAGAAGGGGCAAAATTCCTTCTGTTTTTACTTACTGCCCTGTATGTCTAACTGGATAACATGTAAAATAATACCATGTATTTCTGTGTATCTGTGGTTATTTATGGTTTTCTTAAATCACCCAAGATGGTGTCGTGGATGGCTGCCTCGGTACTGCGCTCTCTGGTACTTTTTTATGTTAGTGTTTATTCGTTTAGATTGCCTATAAATAATTTATTTTTCCTATAAATTATTTATTATTATTGTTTAAATACGCAGTTTTAAATCTATGCCTGCTATACATGCTGTATATACTGTTATGTTCCCCAGCCTCATCTATGTAAAGTAACCTGCTAGATAAAAAAATATTTATTCCAGCATCCTTTGCACTCTGCACCATTGCTCTATTAATTGGAGTCAAATTCCTTGTATGTGTACACATACCTGGCCAATAAATGATTCTGATTATAGTACATGTATGTATGTACTGTTTTAGGTGGCGAGACAACCCCATGCTTCCAAGGGGGCTGCTGTATGAGGGTGTGAGCAATGAGCCAATTCTGTTATCAGGTGGAAGTGCAGCCCAGAGTTCAGCCATTCAGTGCTTTGATGCTTTGCTGTGCATCCAGCACGAGGATGTGACAGGTAAAGATACATTTCCTTTAACCTTTGACCCCCTCAGATGCTTCCCAAAAATGAATCACACTGTTTGTGCAGTAGGTTGATTGCTTTGACAGAAAATGTCTCCAGGAAAGGTTGTTATTTCCTTTCTTTCAAAGTGTCTTTTCTGTTCTCTTCATTGATTCACCCTATCTAGGAGCCTTCCTGACACGCATGAGGGATTACATGCCTCCTGCCCACCGTCAGCTGATAGAAACTCTGTCCGTCTGTCCATCTCTGCGAGACTTCATCCTGTCCCAAGCCAGCTCTGATCTTTGCCAGGCCTACAACTCCTGTGTCTCAGCACTGGTGGATTTACGGAACTACCACCTCAATACTGTGACCAAGTACGTCATTGTGCCTGGTAATCAAGCTCGCGCCATGGGCTGCCCGCTCAGAGGTGTGGGCACTGCGCTGAACACAACAGGGACGGGTGGATCCAGCATAATGGTCTTCCTCAAGAGTGTTCGTAACACCACCCAAAAACTACTGATTTTAGAAAGGCCATCTACTTCAAGAGAAACTGAAATGTAATTTATAGCATAATATGTACAATATCCATTTTACACTATGCTTTTGAAGTTGTTTATACGAAAGGTTTACAGAAACATAAGCATCAACAAATTTTGCCATCGTTATTTTAATCAGACAATTTAATTTGTCCTTTTTTAAAATGTAAGTCTGTTTTGTAAATTCACTTGGTCTCTGATTAAATTAGAGGAACTCTTGGGGAGAGACCTTTTTTCCCCTGATGATTTTAGCTGACAAAAACCACTGCCATACTTTGCAAGCCCATTTCTGCCAGGGTAAAAAAATTCAAAGTTGACTTACTATCGCAAACAAAAAGTTCTATGTATTTTATTCCTTTCTTGACAAAAAATGTCTTCCATACCACACACTCCTTGACATCCCTAAATTAACTGCACTTTGACTTTATATAATTCTGTGAAATGATTGTAAAAACCTTTACAGACCATGCTACAAAGATTGTCTATGTTCAGTATTGCATTTTATTTATTCTGGTTATATATGTACCCCCAACTACATCTGTACACCCTTGAATTTTAGTATTATTTTTGATATAAATGACTTCAATAACATTTTGAAAATATTTTATTCAGTATTGATAAATAAATATTCTTATCTTATGTAAATATTCTTATCTATTACTATAACAATGCCTGATGTGGTTTTTGACCTGTTTCAAAACCATTTGTAATAACAACAAATACACATATACATATAATGATACGAATAGTGCCAACAATGGAAGAAAAGCATTTTTCTAAAGTGCATTTGATCAATAAACTAATTTGGCTTTTGTAAACAGAAACTGAAAATGGGAACTCCTACGTGCCTGAAAGTAAGAAGCAGATGGCAGAGGAGGAAGATAAATGTAGAGAGAACCATGAGCTGTGGAAAAAATAGAGGAAGGAAATGCTGAAGAAATCAAATGATAGAGGACATTAGTAAAATAAAAGAGAAAGAGAATCAGCTGAGGACAATGAAAGACAGACACAGTGGGGGTAATCAGGGCAGAGGGATGGAAGTGTGGGATCGGGTCACTCAGTTTGATGGACTCGAACCCCCACTCGCCTCCTGGTCTTGACTTGAAGGTTGCGTCTCTTCTTGCCATAGAGGACTAATCACATTAGAAAATAGAAGAAGGGGCTCAACTGCACTGCTGCTGAGCCATGGTCATGGTCCAACTCTGCTTCACTAAAGCACAAAAGATGTCAAATGTGGACTGTTTGACACCGGGTGAATGCCGCTCTGGCTGTCACTACACCCAGTGCTGGTGTAGTTGTCTGCTGTCACATAGAGTTGGGAAGTGGGAGGGTTTGCTGGCTCTGGAAGTGTTTTATGGCATTCTGTGTTCCCATTTCATTTCTCTCTTTCAACGATATCCTCTATGTTTCTAAAACAGAAACACAGGACTCTGGATAATATAACTACCACAGAGGCTTATGTTGTGGCCACAGGTTCCTGATAAATCATGTTTTATCCAATACTACAATACCCATTAGCCTCAGCTGCCACTATAGAAGAGCAGGGGAGAATTAAAAATGCTTTGTTGCAGGTGTTAACAAAAGCAGTTGTTGAATTCAATCATTATTGACACAAAAATTAAAAGTGAAACTGCATTTAGTGTGTGATTGAGCCGTGATCGAATAGTTCTTACTGAAATGCACCTGTAGTCAAAGGTAAAAGAAAGATATTTTCTAAGGCGGTTGTTAGCTTTTGAACTGATGATTCAATTGGAAGAGTTTAATGCTGATGAAAGCTGTAGAAGTGTTCCAACTGTGAGTCAATTAACATTGTCTATGGGAAAAATTAAGAGGACTACTTCTAGAACCAGGAGTTCCCAAAATAGCTCTTTGCACTTTGCAACTCTATTGCCTCTAGCATTCAGTAGACATAGCAGCACACTGAATCACCTTCAGTTGAAAATGTTTTAATTGAGGTGTAGAAACAGTAGAAAAATGCATAATATTGCACATAATCACTAAATTGCACTTTCTCAAGGTACAGATCTTTGCATGGACATTGGTGACCTGAATCATGTAATCTACTGCGTACTCTAAGGATGGGAGGCCAGTTTTTGTCTTCCTGACGTTTCTTTGATATTTAACAGTACCATAATCTACATAGCTGCTGTTATAAAATGACTTTAAGAACTCAGTAAATACCTGCTTTGTAACAGCGTGCAAGTTCAGTATCATTGCTACATCATCAGTGTTTTTGTTGTTTTGTACTTAACCAAAGCTGGTGGCTACAAGTCTTCTCTGCTGTGAGATTGCTACCATACTCCTTTAGCACTGTATATAGCCCTTCTATTCTCGCAAGTTCAGTGCACAGTTGTTTGTGTGGGTTGGTAGACAGATGTTTGGTGTTCTGTAATTGTCTTCTGTGAAAAAAGTAATCATTTTACAAGATGAAACTTGCAGTGGCAAGATAAATCAATATTTCAACACTTCAAGTGTTAGCTAACTGGACATGAAACAAATGACTTAAAAATAGATTAAGTTCACATCAGAGCTTTGCTGTGACACAATGAGTGACTGAGAGGCAAGGCAAACTCTCAATGGACTCAAAGAGAAATGTCAAAATAGCCTTTACTTTTTGTTGGAAATACCCCCCCCCACACACACACACCTCCCCCCAAACAAACACCGTTTAAGTTATCGTAGAAAATATACTGCCTTAGAAGTAGTCAAAACATTATATATGTTGTTAAAAAAATCAGACCTAACCCAGGAGACTTTTTTTCAGCATTTTCAATTATACCTGCTTCAAGAGGAGGGGCCCAAACATATATCCGTTAAAATTTCATTTTACAGTACTTAAAAATATAGATTCTAAACATTATGTGTCAGTGTAGCCAACAGAGAAGGACAGGATGACTGAGGCAAAGTTGGCTGGCTAGTCGGTTGGTTGCACAGTGGGCTAAATGGAGAGATAGACAGAAAGACAGAGAGAGATAAAGGGACAGAGTAACAAAGAGAGGGAGGAGGCAGGGGTTATTAACAAAGGCAGGCAGACGTTCAGTCAGACAGACAAACTGAGCAGGACGTTAACAGATAAGGAGGAAGAGGAGAGAAGGGTTATAAGAACAGTGCTGACATACTGCCATGTACTGTACTGTGTTTCAGTCTTTTACGCATATTCCTCTCAATAGTCAAATGTTTGTGCTTTGCTGGAGGTGGGGCTGATGTCCATTCAGAGATTATAGCTTCAGTCATAAAAGGCCCTCCACATGGCGCCTCCTCTTGTTGCCAAGCAATATGCTCTAAGGGGAAAAAGACCAAAAGTGCATTGCATTGGAGGATGCAATAAAAGACATAAATATAAAGTGAGGGGTGCATTTACCCAGTATATAAATAACATCCATCTTTATACAGCTTTAAAAATACATGTACAAAAATGCATCCCAAAGCTCACCTAGTTGTTGCAGGTGTATGTCGATCCTCTTCAGCAAACATGCCAGAAAAAGGTTTGACAGAATTTTAAATGTTTTTGTCTCTGCTGTCCCCCAGCTGACTTAATGTGCAGTCTCAACTCAGAACCCCAAATGATCTGGATTCTGTCGTTATCCATACTCCTTCATCCATTTTGCGATCAACAGGGGTATTAATGTGCCCAATGAAAAGGCTGTTTCCAAAGGCCTCATGTTTTATTCAAAGGAACCAGAGTTTCCAACGAGCATGCTTTTTGGACTCTGTTTTGGACTTGCGTTTTGGGGTGGATGTGAACACTTCATTGGAGTAAGGCAGAGCAGGGCATTGTTGGCCATCCAGGGGGCATAGTCTCTTCATCAGGGGGTGTAGCTTGTCCTCCTGCAGCTTGAAGTCCAGTTCGACACTGTAAGACAAGTTTAAGAGGTAGAATTTTAGAATATTTAGATTATTAAGTTCAGTATTGTACTTAGAATACAATGATTTGATTATAGATTCAGGCGCATTCATCTGAAGGTTTTTAAAGTTGTCTTTTTGGTGGCTATAACATTTATGACTCAATTTTTGCCTTAGTTTTTATGTTAGTAATCCACCAATGTCCAGATGGAGGCAGGGAGGGAAGCAAATGGTTCAAATGCACTAACAGACACCCTGGCAGCACATATCTCTTGCAACACATATCCACATTTCAGAGACTCGTCCGAGTAATAGAGTTCCTTTGCATCATTTCTGCATTTTTTATACATGCAGTCAAAGGGCTTTTCCTGCATAGATTATATTTGTATCAAAAACGAGCCAGAATGTGGGTTGCTCCTGACATCAGACGTCCACATCCGCCAGTATAATCCCAGGCTGGTCATCGTCTGATTTTGTAGTTGAACTCTCTCTCCGATTAAATCTCTCTGGGAGAAACGTGGGGCTTAATCCCATCCAAATGAAACCATCGAGAGGCCAAGCAGACCCTGATTAACTGCCTGTATTCAAGCAAGGGATAAATGCATTATTATACACCATCTCCTTTCACTTTATTGCTATTGATTTGCAGTGCTCTGTTAATGTATTTATTCCTGGGGTGTGCAATAAATTTTGTGTGGAAATAAAAGAGAATGAATCATCTGCTATTTTCCTGCCAAAGTGACACTCTTCAACAAACCATACCTGATAATAAAATCATCTGTTGATTTTTGGTTTGGAGCATTTTGATCCTCTTTGTTTTTTATTATTTATCGCCAACATTACTTAACACTCTGGATTTAAAAAGCACAGTGCATACTACGACTTACAAAGCTTATTCCTGTCATTCTAAGTCTAGAGGATTAAAGGTGGAAGGGAGAGCTGAAGCTACCAAAAGAGATGACATCTGGCATGTCAAGGTCAAACATGTAGTCCTCTCTTTGTCTGCAGGCTCACAAATAGACGTTAAGGTACAAAGCTTTGCCTGATGGGGTAACCGCTTTGATGGGCAGTGTAATTAGTTCGCTGAAGGATATGCTATACTCAAAGTGACATAATGAATCCTGGGAACTGTCCTCACCCTTAAGATAAGTGTCAGTTAAGAACGGAGCTCTATTAAAGCCTTCAGGGGAGAAACCGAATGGACGGCTGGATAGCAGTTTTTTAGGCTGGGACTTCCAATAAATCAATATGTTTGATTAAATAAAGTCTTAAATGTACAGGAGCCTGGGCATATGGCTACTTCAAACTCAACATCATTATTGATTTAAAAAGGGATTTTTAAGCATGTTTGTGTCAAATCAAAACCTCTTGTTGCACAGGACTTTGCTTGCTAATGTCCTATTAATGCAGAATCCTGGACCAAGAGAAACTCAGTTTTATGGACAGACTCAAGTCTTGCCAGAACGGCTGTTTCTTGCAGTATGTGGTGCACTTGCTTTACAATCTCAATCTCTTTTCTCGTTCATATCTATTGTTTAGTTTGCTTTTCTCTGTATTTGTATCTTTTGTTTTATGCTAAAATCGTTGTGTCTTTTACAACTGTTGTACAAAAAATGTTGAGTTGACAGAAAGTGGAGCAGAATCACAGCAGCACAGTGCAACACAGAATAGCCTCAGCAATTAATAAGCAATTAATCACTTGGCAGATCACTGCAATTACTGTATGCTGTGGACAAATGCCTCAGTGGGAAGCCAGAGGCAGCAACTGTACGATGCGGGTGGCACTGGGGAGCAGGTGCTTCAGCAAATAAAAGCCCTATATCTAAGATCATCTCTGTACACAAACAGATGAAGCGGCTGGAGACAGGCAGGCTTTTCTAGGGCATTCAGCAAAGCAGATTAATCATCTCTTTAGCTATGCAGTGTGAGTAGCTGTTGCTGTGATCAGTGGCGAGCCGTTTGTTTGTCTGTGGTCGTGGTGTGCTGAGCACCATTCAATGATTGTTGCTCCTGGGAGGGATTTTGCAGCCTGTGAGATGTCTTTTTAGCACATCATACCCTATTCATTCCACAGTGTATACCCACTTGCTACTATTCTCTGTTCTTGCTGCTGCTGGCACCTTTCAGTGTAAAGTCATTCCTCCTCCTGTGATTTCCCCTTTGGCCATCCACATGTAGTTCAAACCCTCCACTTGACAAGATGAGTGGTTCAGGCCCAGTACAGTGTAACATCTACAGAACTACATGACGGGGCATAGTAGATTAAATCACCAGAGAGTGACAGTTATTTCCTCCACTGACAGGCAACAGTTGAAGCAGAAACTCCCCACAGGTTATGTAAATCAGATGCAGAAATTCTTCCCCTGTCATGTATATCAGATATAAAAGCCATTGCCATCTATTACATGGCTCTCTGCCTCACAGAAAAACCCAATCTCATTAATGAGAACAAAACAGAATAGGCAATCTTGACAATTGTCACCAAAACAACCACAGCTCTGCCATCTCAGCGTGGGACACAAGCACTAATTAGCTCCTTGCGTCTCATCACATTGCATTGCAGTTGCAGTTCCCTGAACTTAACTGTTTTTTAAAGTCATTGTTAGCTCCAAATTGGAAACACTACATTGTATGCTTTGATTCAAATGCTGGTTCTTATTCAACGCAGCATGGTAGGAATAAAATCCTTTAATGCTTTGATCTCAGAGTGTTTTTTAAATTGGGCTTCCTACTATAATCTAGGTTGACTCAGTGGTAGACAACTGATGCTCTTGTAAATCTTGTTTGAACTATACATCTAAGTACAGCAAGAACATAAAAAGCAGGAGGTCTCACCATGCTGTCTCCTTCTTTGAGTTGAATGTTTTGTTTTTTTTAAAAGGTTAGTTTGCCTAAATAATAATAACAATAATAATAGCAATTTTCCATCCCAATGCAATAAAGGTGAATGGAATTTGTTCATAGCACTGAAAATTTAAACAGTGGTCCCACTAGAAAGTGGCAAGTTAATCTGTGTGTACTCTGGTAAAAAGTTCAATTCATTTTTACCATAGAGAACATTACGTGACTCACAGTTGGAGCACTTCTGATACTTGTATGGACATGAAACACTCATAAGTAAGTCATTACTGAAACGATTAAGAACTCTGTTTGAAAATATCTGGTTCTTTGATAAAATTCAAAGACACCACCCTGTGTACATAAAGTACAAAACTAAAAACACAATCTGCAACTTTGATCAATTCACTTAATTAAGCAACTGTGTTGTGACTGTGTTTGTTTTGTAAGTTTTGAATTCTATAAGTTTGTTACATCTTTCGTCAGAAGTATATTAAAGATATTGTGTAAAGGTCCAGTGTGTAGGATTTAGTGGCATCTAGCGGTGTATTTCTTCTTGTAGATTGCAACTCCCTTGTTTCACCCTCCCTTTCCAAGTGCAAAGGAGACACAACAATGGTCGTCACGAAATGTGGCCCTTTCTAGAGCCAGTGTTTGGTTTGTCTGTAGAAACATGGCGGTTCTATGGCAACAAAAACATAACAATTCAGGTGATTATACATGAAAGAAATCATACTTATGCACATTATATTCTATTTGTCATTCCTCCCAAATGTTACACACTGGACCTTTGAATGGGAATACAAGATTTGCGAAAAACACTTCTAGAACCAGTGTCTCCTTCCACTTCGCAACTGTATTTTATTGTGGTAGCGGCAAAGATCACAGAGGTGGATCTCTCAAAACGTGGGCAGATAAACCCAAAAGTGTCTGCGATGCTATACCACTAGAGGCAGGTTAGGTTTTCCCTTGATGTAATGGACAGTGTCTTTATAGTTATTCCCCTAATTTATCGTCCATATTCAGCCACTCTTTCCCTCTCTCTTGCCATATGTATGCCCTATTTGTTGCAGTGATGTATGAGATGCTGCAGTAAACCGAGGGTGGAGAGTCAGGGGAGAGCTGAAGTCTGGATAAGACCCATAGATTGACTACCTGAGGTCAGCAGCTGCTAGAGCCCTGAATTTATCGGACATACTGGAGATGCTGGAGTGCTCTGAAATTAAGGGTTACATCTCAGGGGCTGCTAATCTTGGTTACAGTTGCACAATGTCGTTTCTGTCTGAATTTGAAGGGTCCTCTGGTTCCAACTTGCTTTTTTTTTGGTTTGTTCTTGGCTTGTTTAAATTTACCTCACTGTACACAGGCCTCCTCACTAGGTGTCACACAGAGTGGTTGGTCGAGCAAGGTGATTACTGCTACTCTATCAGCAGTTTAACTCACTGGATTGATAGACTATTCTAATAAAAAGGATGCTGTTGATGGGATCATACAGCAGCTTAGTAAGTGACTGTAAAAGAAGTACAACTGAAATAAAAAGCTGATATAAACAATAAATAGTAAATATAAGTCAGTCTTGGAAGGTGAAGCTGGATTTTGGTGAAGAATATTAAACAGCACTGTTTGCAGAATTTAATATATTTATGACAATTGCTTTTGGAGAGATAGATAGGACTGTTATAGATTACTACCCTGCTTGCCAACTACAGCTGTGCTTTATTCAACAACTGTTAAAAACCAGTTGGATGAACTGAAATAAACAACTAATGATACAGATTTTCCCACTTTATTAGTACTTTGCAGAGTGCATCTTCATTGTGATTATATTACCATACCACGTGCTTTGGTTTAGTGACAACAGATTGAAGTCACTTTTTTGCCACCAGAAATTGTTCAGAGTTTGTTAATTAAGCCAAGTTGCTTCACTGACACAAGGAGTTGTCTTATTAAGATAAGATCAGTGAGACGAAAAAAGAGAAACTCAGATATAGGCTTTAGGACTTTTCTTTGCTCCTCTATGCAGTAGACTTCTTGCGTCAGTCTTACAAATTATGTTGCCGTTACATCTTCTTAGATGGAACCTAAATGTACTGCATTGCCCCATTTATCAGCTGTAAGAAATAAGTAAACTATAGGTGCAGTCACATGACACAAATAATAGCTTTTACAGGCTCATATGACAATTTATTTACATAGTTCTCACATATCCACTCTGCTTAAACCCCCAGATTGAAAGCCACACTTACTTACAGTAATGACTAAACCCATGAAAACAAATCAATGAAAAGGCCTTGTTGATCAATAGGGACACAAATCAAAACCCACACCGGCACACTGCAGTATTCTGGTTGTTACACAAGAGAGCACCTAGAGTATATTATTTGTGATCCTTGCATTCATGATTCATGGAAATTATGATCACGTAGAAATTAATGAAATATATTTATTTGGAGCCCATCGGTGTGCATACGTTTTCTCCTCTGAGCCCTGCAGTGATATTTTTTTTATATATTTTTGCTTGAATGTGAACACTTGGTCCCTCTTCTCATGTAGAAATTATAATCATGTACTGTAGAATTATCGTTTATTTTCTGACATTTGGAAATGTAACTAAATTGTTTTAAATTATTTTATGTCTATTCTGGTCTAATTTTCTAATTTGCTTCACATACCCAAGGGATTGTGAATTATTTACCATTCAATATTGTTGCCTGTGACACACAGCACCAATTTTCAGGAAGGGTTTACTAAATTCATTACCCTGTTTATGACTTTTGTTACTGTGGAAATTATTTCTTTAACTGGAAGATGAGGACTGTTCATTACTTTGTCTACAATGTAAGCTAATCTTTGCAGTGTCACGTGATCTCATTTTCTACATGCCTGTATTCTTTAAGGGCAAGAAATTACATTTAAATCAGACTAATTATATCGTAATTTTTACAAAGGTTTGTGAACAGTTCATTACAGTAATTGAGACATATGTGAACAAAAGCAAATTAATACATTTTTACACTTCTCACAGAAAGTGCATTGCAGTGTTCTTTATGTGATCAATAGACATGTTAGTGATTTATAGTTAAATTTTAATTTAGCTATCAAAGATCACTGCCAGATTCTTAGCTACAGATTAGTACTGAAATATTTAGATAGATTTTTTTTGGCCTGTGTCAAAACCAAAATCTATGTTTTGTCCTTATTTAGCTGAAGAAAATGTCACCACATTCAATTATTAATTTCTGAAAATGCTATTTATAAGATTGTCACAGACTCAAGTTGTCTTGTGAGATACAGAGCAGTGTGTCATCTGTGTAGGAATGAAAACTGATCCTATATTGGCAGCATTTACTAACAGAAAAATATGGGGCCCAGGACTGAACCTTAGGGAACACCACAAGAAATATTTTCTTGCTGAAACAAAATTGTATCCTATAGATTAATGAGTCATTAACTGTACCTGAGAGATTAGGCTAAACTGTACCAAATGCAGCACTGAGATCAGGGAGTACCATTATAGATGTTTTTCATGTATCTGAAGCTATTCTGATGTTGTTTACTGCTTTGAGGAGAGCTGTCTTTTTTATGTCATCAGGACTAAAATGAGTAGAAAATTAAGCATTTGTAAAACTGGTGCAGGAGAGAGCATGATCATGCAGATAATAATTGTTTTTTATATGAACAGCTGGACAAGACAGTACAATTCCGCTCTTATCACCAACCTTGACCTTTTTTACTTTGACATCTTTAGGAGCGGTATGAACAGCAGAATGTAGTATTGTGGTTATAGGAGAACAGCTTTTAATAACATCATTTAGTCTCAGACATGTACAGCAAGAGTCTACACAGATTGTTAGACACGATTTGAACAATCCTTTTTAGTTAGATTAAACACCTGGTCTCTCAAAGCTTTTTTTTTTTTTTTTACTGCTGACACCCAATGTCTCTGGTAGCAGAATAAAGGCCAATAATTTGGTGTTGTTGAGTTTGTTTTGCCTTACTAAGGAGTGTCGAGTCAGATTTTCAGTTCTTGCTGAGGACTGGTGATCTCCCTTTTGCCTTGGTGTAGATAGTTGTTGAACATTATTCTTTGATGGCAACTCAGGCACATTCTGTAGAGGCTTAAATCTGTTTTCTAGTTTTATTGACTGCAGTCCAGCTGTTCTCTGTTTTGCTATGGTTTGGAGGAGTGAGAGTGGCTGTCGCTTTGCAGCACTCTGACTCTGTTATCTTGTTGTGTTTTTGGAGAGATATCGATGGAGGAAAGCCTTTTGTTTCTATTTGTGCTTATAGACCAACATCAGCCCACAGCTCCTGTTTGGATGCACCAGCAGTAGTAGTCAACTTAAACAATAGTAATAGGCAAGATAGCGGCTCATGTCTGGGTCAGTTGTGTTCATATCCAGTAGGTCTTGATTAGTGTGCTGCACAGATCAGTGATTATGCCATCAAATACCCCAATGTGAGGTGCATTGTGTTGGTAAGTTCAGTCCATTTTCCACTGCTACTCCATCTACGTCACGATCCATGACACTGTGAACATAAAGTCAGTGGCCTTCACACAAGAACATTTTCTTATTCCTAATCTCTTTTACTTTTTTCCTGAGGCCTGCTTTAACAAGTGTTCCAAATTTTACGTGATGAATACCGCTTAAGTAGGTGGGCGTTGATCATTTGATTATTAGCACAATCAAAGAGTTTTTAGTCCTGTCAGACAGCAGAAGACAACAAAAAGCAGATTTGGAGAAACAAACAATGAGAACATATTACTAGAGCCATCATTGCATGCATTGACAGAAATGAAGAAAAGTTTGACGTGAATTTATATGACAAAAAAATAACTTTCTAGAGCAATGCAGTCCATGGGGGCGATCAAGGGGACGTGACAGATGGACAAGAATGCATTTCATTCTTTTAAGTGATGTTATACTGTTGGGTTTGTTGTTGATGTGTTTAAACTCAAAACTCATTTAGATTAAGGCATTATAATATCTAGGTCAAATATGTTTCTCCCCCCTGTGGCAATACATGATTCGTATGACACGCCACTTCTATTTGTGCCTAAGAGAAAATTATTAATATGTATAAAATTGGTGAATGCAACTTTGTTTATTTAAGTGGTTCTTGTGGGAGGCATGAGGATTTCTCACCCCCCTGTATCTGATATGAAATGGAGATCTTGTTCCACAATGGTCTTACACCACAATCTGGGTCAGCTTAACATAACACACTCGTCAAGGAAGAGGACAGAGGAGGCATCTTGAAAATGTTATATGAAATGAAAACCCTTTTCCAGGACAGGGCAGCTTTTCTTTTCTTTTCAGTAAAAAAAAGAATATTCAAGGTGTTGTAAATATCTGAAATTCATCCAAAATAATTAAAAAGGACAGTACAGCAGACAACCCCTGAACATTCTTATTCATCTCTATTCTAGTGCAGTAGCTATCATGCAAAAAGGGAAGTATAAAGGAGAAGTTGGGAAGAAAAATCCATGTACTGCAGAAAAAATTCCATATTCAGGAGGGACTCAAAGTTTACATCTATCATTTGTGATTTTGTGTTTTTTTAAGGTTGTTTCCCACCGGCCCAAACTACTCAGAAGGCCGCTGTACATGGTATATTTTCTAGGTTTGAGAGTATTTTCACATCAACACATGTCTATTTCCTGTTTTATAAAACAAGGGTTCAGCAGTAGAGGCTTTTGGATTGAAGTGACAAATGACACAAGGTTACAGCTTGAGTGGATTTCCCACCTGCTTCTGAGCCCCTTTTCAGCTCAGAGCATATCAGAACAGTTACAGCACAAAAAACTGTTGCAGAAATAGTGTCTTTTAAAGAGGGCTTCAGTACAATGCTTGTCAGTATTTCTGAGACTGTATAGAGCTAATCCAGCCTTTTTTATAAAACCTGTTTTATGTGACATGATAAAATTCTAGGTCCTCATACACTTTGTGACAGGGTCAACTGTATTTCCTATTCTGTCTAATTTACTTCCCACTGCTGTGTATGATTACTTATGCATTACAGTGAGGCCATACATTCCCCAGGAACCCTTGCGAATGATATTGGCGATATTATTTATTTCATCATCCATTATAGAAAAACATGTTATGGTGCAACATCCAATATACTGTATTCAGAGCTGCCAGTAGCTGCACATTTACTTCTCTGAGTTGTTCTTTCTATATACCTGGTGCTTATTTTATGTTTATTTTCTTTTGGATTCCATTTACTCTTACACACAAAAGCTCAACATTTTTATTATTATTACTATGCCTCTGTCAAATCACTATAAATGCAGCACCCTCCATATACTACATCTTCTTTTACGTTCTTTGCAAAGAAAAGCACCACTGCACCAAACACCTCTTGTAAGCATCCCTTTCACACCGAACCAAATTATCATACAGAAAACAGCATTTAATGCAGCATTAATGACATGCTGGCAGTGAAAAGGGCCCACCTGTAAATGATGCATGCGCTGTTCCGACAAGTGTCACAATTTGCTGTGTCTTGTCCTGTTCGGTAGGAGAGCCTGTGAACAGAGAGATGAAAAGATATACGTATCTCCAGTGGCAGACTTTAGCTTCATATTTCAACACCTGTGGGCATCAGCTATCAGCCAGATTTGTTCAGCTTGGTTTTCACCTTGTGTTGTTTATTCCTAACAGTTGAAAATGCAGCAGGAGCTCTGATCCTGTAGTCCTCTCAGATTTGGTTAATAAAGTGTGTAGACTTTACATAATAGGATTACCTCTCTTTGCCATGACATAGTTATAAAATACAGTATGTTCTGTGTCTCTATTCTATAGGCAATAGAACTACTTAGCAACTAAAATGCTGCATGAATCATGTGTAATGAAAAATCAATGTCTTTACATTCTGCGCTATACAGTACATATTTTTTTATTTTTCATCCAACTCAATTTGCTGCAGACAATGAGCATCAAGGATTCAAAGAAAGCAGTCAACAAGACAAATTGTATCTGCTCTGTTTATGGCATAAGTACACAGCCGCAAGGATCTGTTGTCTTTACTGCGTAAGAGTTGTAATTTTTTATGTTGAAAGACCTTCACAAAGGACCAACTTACAGTAAACTATCTCTTGGGGCACAACAGAAGCTTATGTGTACATATGTCAAGAACATTTTGTTGGTTGTAGAAGTCTCTATCTCTCATATTGGCAGTTTTTGCCATTTGAGTTTACATAAGAATGCAGGTGTACATGTTGTTATCTGCACTTAATGTCACTGCATGTAGGCTGCAGTGGTATGGGGATGATGGGAGGGGCTGTGTTAGAGCTGCACATGTAATTGATTGCTGTCACAGTAGCCGTTCACCCTGTTGGATGACATGTGGAGGGGTTGGACCTCAACTGTTCACCATGACATGAGAGGTGACCTCATTCGGGGAGACAGAACAGCTTCTGTGCGATCGAAAATGCTGATGGGAGCTCAAGGTCACTAAGTTCATCCATCCTGCCCTGTTCTCAAATGAAGTCTCTTTGAACAGCTGTGAGCAAGGACAGTAACTCACTGCACAGACACGGTCTATACTAATGCTTTCCTGCCTGTCTTTTCATGTACATCCTTGTAATTTAAAGAGCTTTGCTCTAATAATCAAAGTGTATTAACCTGATTTCATAATCACTCTGTGTACTCAGCACAAAAAACACACTTCTTTTTTCTCATTTAGGGTAAAATGTTCATGACCCAATATAGTGGCACTGTATTAAAGAACAGAATGTCACAGATAATTATTTCATAGTTGTTTTATGGGGTGTGTGTGTGTGTGTGGGGGGGGGGGGGGGTCTACACCTCTGAAAGTCATTCTCTAAGCTAACTGTTTGTTGGCACAGATTCACTGCTGTGTTGTTTGCCCACGTCAGCTGTGTCCTGGGATATGTCCTGCCCTCGTCATTCCCGTTTCACTGTCCACACCCCCTGCCTACGTGCCTGCTGATCTGCTTGCCTGAGTATTGCATAGTATTTTGTGCTTTGATAACCTGTGAACAATCGCTACTGTCAGATCAGGCCACATTGTCTCAGGTCAGGTGGCATTCAATGCGTTATATATGATGTAAATAGTGGATGTCATTATACATGTTTTGTACAAATACAGACACAGCAGATACCTGCAGACTTTATTTTGTGAGTAACATTTACTGACTATATGATGCTGTACCATGACTAGCATAGGTAGAGACATTCATGTTTAACAGTATTATGGCAATGCTATCAATACAGTATCAACTACAGTTGGCATTCATCACACTAGGACTGTTATATATGAGGTAATGCAAAAGTCTGTCTTATCACTTATTTACAGTCCCGTTATTATATAATGTATAAAAGGGTTAGGGTTATAAGATATATTCTATTATGCTGTGATTAAGAGACTAGAACAACTGTAATATTTATTTATCAATCATTATCAAGTGTTAGAGACTCACTTTTTCTTACGTTAGGAAAAAGAAACAGATGTCATGCAAATGCACTGTTTGTAGTTCCTTTTTGCAACAATAAGTGTGACTTCAAAATTGAGATGTGAAACAGATGACAAGCATGTGCATTATTTAGAGTTCCTGCCGTTTTTGCAGGAAAAAATTGTCATGTTTGTATTATTACTCATTATTATTACTGACTCATGGGACATGTGAGGGAAGGCAAGAAAGAAAATGAAGAAGTATGGTATTTTGTAATGTTATTTCCAATGTAAACAGTAAAGTGGAGATAACCCCGATAAATACAATGCTTTTCTAGAAACATTGTGCCTGTACTGTTGCTGGACCAGTAGATTACTTTTGTCACTGAATGTTTACTAAAAGCAGTTGCTTAAAAATCACTAGAAATCACACATTTATTCCTGGTGAGGAAAGGCTTTTAGTTGCATTTGGTTTATCTCAAAGTATAGCATTAAAGAAGGTTATTTGACTGTCCAACCGTGCAAAAAAGGAGTGAAGCCTATTTGGGAATGTACTATGGAAGGCAGGCTTTGCGTTGTGTAACTGCACCTCTCTAATAACGCTGATGGAACACAACACAGTGGAGGCACTATAGCAGGCACAGTTTTGTGGAGATGAAAGGCAAAGTTTTATGGGGCTGCACTAATTGGGCCTTTAAAACCAAGTTTCACAGAGCCACACTAGGGTGCCTTGTTCTCCACTGGATATGGATAAGACTTAAATGTAATTTGCTTTGTGTTGCTGTGGGTTTTAGAGATGGAGTACATTTATTCTTTCTGTTGCGCTGTTGTAGGAGTCTGGCTGTACACATGGCTTGAGAACTTTATGAAACTTGTTAATGCGTTTTCTCCTTTACAGGTTTTGTATGTCTCTAATGAGATATAACAAATAAAGAGTTATTGGAGGCACAGTTGCTCTTCCATCAAAATTACACAGGACATTACTAACATGTATTGTACTATGTCTTTGAAACGCCCCATTAGAACTTGATGTTTAAATATCATAGGACATTAATAAAATAGTAATCCTCAGACCTGTGTCACCAGCAGATTAGAGTTTTCATTTATTCAGTGAACATTTACTTCATAGTTTTGCACCACATTTTGCTCAGATATTTATGGTTCCCAGAAGATGAAGCTTTTGATTTTGGTGATGTTTCTTCCAGTGCCACCTGAAGTTGACTTTTTTTATTTTACTTTTACTGAAATATCTAAACAACTGTAAAATGGATTGCTGTAAAAACATGTACATACATCTATGAGATACTGAATATGAATTAAAAAGACTTTGATCCCCTGACCTTTTATATAGCGCTATCATGAGATCAAAATGTATGTTTCAAGTTTCAAATGCAACAGCCATCAGCCTCAGTTGTACTACCCTAACCCTGTATTTTTGGTGCTAATTAGCAAGCATACCAACAAACTAAACTAACATGGTAAAAAAAATACCCGCTAAATATCAACATGTTACTGCTGTAAGTCAGAAAGTACTGCTGTGCCTAAGTACAGCGTCACATTGTCACTTGCCTGGATGTAGGCTCATTAAGCATAATCCCTGTCTTTTACAGTTTAGGCCATCATTGTAAATGCGCTTACCAAGTTAACTGCTGAAATCGGAGAACACAGTGATATTTCTACAAATAAAATCTGATGAGGCAAGAAACACCAGCAGTCAGACAATCATACAGGTCAAACGAGCCTCTAGATTATAGCTACATTTATCTGAAAGAGAAACCAAAAACTGCCCATTGTAAGTATCCAAGTGTCCAAATTCCTTTGACCTACTATATTTGTTGTACTTGTGCACACAAGTTTTCCTGTTAGATGAAGGATTATTACCTCGGTGACAGTGTTGCCTTAACCAATAGAAATTATAGCTACAAAATATGTTGCAATAAACTGATATTTTCCTGACAATACACAGTGAAATGTGCATAAATGTACAGTGTATAATGTATGTTTGGTTGTAAGTACTGTAAAGCTTATTCTACTCACCCCTCTCTATGTGCTTCACCTTTCTCCAGCTCCTGAATAACTCCAAGTAGGACCTTGATGGTCTCCTGGCTCGAGCTGATGAGGCTCTCCATGGCCTGCAGCTGTGCTTTGATATCCTTGTCTCCAGATAAGGGCATTATCTGCTGGCTGCTCCCCATGCCTGGGGCTCCTGTGTCTCGTGGAAGAAAGCCCTCATTCCCCCCAACTGTTTGCTGGAGTTTAGAGGAGGCTGACACATGCCTTGTCCGACACTGCCCTAGTGACTGTACAGAACATTTGGCACTATGGGGAAGTGTCTGTGACTGCTGTACGTTTAGCTGCGTACCCTTTTTCCGTTTACAGCTCACAGACGGGCTTCCTAAAGACTCCACCTGTGTCAAAGAGTTCCACGCAACAGGGCCAGTGCCCTTTGACTTGTCCTGTGAAAACTCTAAGTTAGCCAGCTGGCGCTTTGAGGAAGGGCCAGCATCCATGTCTTCTTTGGGTAATCCTTTGTGTTTGGTCCTTGTCCCACAAACCTGGTACTCTGGTTCTCTTTTGGAAGGAGAGCTGCGTGGATGGCTCTCCTCCGAGAAATGTGAGTCTGGATAAGAGGGTCCATCCACACAGTTGGCACTGGAAAGCAAATCCTCTGTATCACTGCTGTCATCAGTGTGGTGAAGCAGTGCTTTTGTCTGCCCCACAATCTTACCCTTATACTTAGAGGACTCCCCAATAGGTTGTCCATCCTCGCCTCCCGCTTTTATATCACTCAAAAAACCATTGTTTTGTCCCCTGTAATCTTCCACCAAAGCGGTATGTTTAAATGTATGTCCCTTTTTCCTCTCGAAAGGGAAAGTCTTGTATCGCTTAGTGAGGTCCGGTGAGGTCTGGACCCCAGTACTCTTGGTTACGTTTGGAATAGAGCGTCTGGCTGGCATGGTCATGTATTTTCTGTGTGTCACTTTACAGGAAATGGACCTGGAGCGTCTTCCCCGATGCTCATTCTGAGCGTCACAGATATCCTTAAAACGCACTTGTAAGGCCTTGTTTCTCTTCTTCACCTGCTGCTTGCCTGATTCTGGTCCAGACTGGGCATCAAGACTGTGTGATGGGCCTGTCTCTGAATCTGATTCATCTGAATTTGAGAGAACAATGCATTTGGTGTCCTCTTTGCTCACCATATTTCCTGAAAAAGGTAAAAGAGAAAAAAAAAACAGAGCCTGTATGTTACTATGTTATCCAACACTCCAGCAAAATACTGTAGCAGATAATCTGATTCTATTCTCCGTATGAGACCACAACTTCTAATTCTACAAATTCTTACACATTATAAGCCTGTATTAAAGGAATGATCTGTGATCAAAAATTTAAAACACAGTATTTATTAATACACATGGTGACAAATTATTGATTGGGATGTTCTGGAAGTGTTTTTTCCCCATTCTGAATTCATCCATTTTAAATGTCTCTTATAATGATATCCTCAGTGTTGCATAACATGTAAACAAAGGACTGTCCTGGATAAGTATCTATAGGTTTATGTTATGGCCCCCACTTTTAATTATTGTAACCCTTTTTCCCCTGAGAAATTATGTTTTGTCCGTCACTTTAGCATGGCAGATGGTTCTACTACAGAAACCCTGAGCTATTGTGAAGCAGCCAGTCAGAGTGCCAAATGACAGCAGTGGTTTCAAAACGCTTCATTGCTGTGAACAATACACAACGCCATAGTCGCAGAATTTATATAAAATTGAATTTAAATCAATTTAAGCTGCAAAATAATCTTCCACCTGCCTTGAGCTGTACACATAACAGAATTTTAAGCTCTGGATTAGATGTTTCTGGACCTTTGACTTTTTTTGTACACAAAAGCTTGAACCTTCAACTTTTTAATAAAAGAACCAGACATTTACTAACACAGTTGTTCACATTTTTTTTCTTTACTAATGATTCAAACGTTGTTTGAGTGTTTTGTGTTGATTCAAGTTGTAAAGGTCTACCAACAGTGAGTCACTTAACATCGTCTATGTAGAAAATGAATGGAACTTCCCTACTCTCCCGAAGGAGCTCCTCCCATGTCAACTCTAACTAACTCTGCCAACACTCGCAACTGCTTGTTATGTACATGCCTCCCAAAAGTCTGATAATTTGCTTCTGGACATAATTATGTCCGGAAGCAATTAAATTTTGTTTGCACTTCGCTGCTACATTCACCATACATCGACTGTTCCTTGTATCAGTTGTCATCCTCAAATACACACCTCAAGCTAGAAGCACAGTTCCAGCTGCTAGCATTTGTTAGTTATGCTAACATGTGAGTTAATGTTGTTGGTCTGTTCAGGAGCAGTTTGTGTGCTCGACAATATCAAAACTACAGGAATAACAGGGCTGATGTTATTACTCTCCCGTAGATGTGATTGTGAGTGACAGTTTTGAGTAGCAGACCTCATTTTTTTTCTGGCTTTTGCTTTACAAATACATTGTGACACATTTATGTTATTGATTTATGTAGTGGCAAAATAGTAATACCCGTGTTTCAGTATTATCAGCGTTTGGGGCCCAGTTGTTTTTGTGGCTTATTTCCCCCTTGGCTGAAGTCATTTTTTGGGTTTCCTATTGGATCACTACAAGCTTTGGTCTCTCTTGGAGGGTAATTGTGCACATTAGCTTTTGTGATTTAAACACGACTGCTGCCGTGCACACAGCCATTTAGCTTCATGGGAAAGTCTCTTTGGTCGCTCGTAGGAGAGTCACATTTACATTTTGTTCACACCATATTCAGCTATACATTAGGGAAACGTTCAAACTTAAACAAATGGGTTTATGTGACAGCTCGCTTTACTGTTCTTCATATCATAATTACATCTGAACTGCTGAGCTCCTGTTCACTGCTCTGCACTGATACACTCAGCCGCAGTCATTGCCAACCTTAAGCTACTGTATATCCACCCACTTATGGTCATCTCCTTATCAACATAACATTTCCTTAGATATATTTTTGTAAGCTTTCTGCGATTAGATTTCTTGACAGTGTTTTCCACACAATGGTTTGTTTTGTTAAGGAATAGCCGTGGGGCGGTTGGTGCCTTGCCAACTAGTAGAAAATGTTTACTATATAATATATTCCCCTTGTGGTCTGAGATTCCTAGCAGAGGAAATGACCACACAGCATTTCTGGCCCACACATGCTAGACTCTACATAAAAGCTGGTGTTAGGCTCCTCCACCCGCATCCACCTGTAGGCTCCCTAGAGGAAAATGTATTATCATCGCTCCTCAATCTCTGCTGTGATGAGGTCAGAGCCTAGACACAAAATATAAACTGTGCACATACTCCCATCATAAATCTGTTCCACGTGAGTTGACTGACTGAACTGACCTTAAAATTTAAATGTTTCAGATTACTGTTACAACTTTAAATTAAAGGCTGCAAAGAGTTTGAGAAACAAACAGCTCACAAAGACATTTTCTACCGTAAGTAATTCAATATGAATGGCATGAAATCACTTAAACATATCTGCAAATGAAAAACACTTTTAGTACGGGAGTAAGTAAACTTTATTTGTATAGCAGTTACAAATTGCTTCACAGTTAATAATAAACATGCATAAGAGTACACAGCATGAAAACACTACTTTAGAGTAGGAGTGTTAAAGTCTCCAAAAAGTGTTATTTTCTAACAACTGTTTTAGCATACGGTTTATATTACCATACATGTACAGTTTACAAAACAGTTTAAGGGTAGAAACTGAAAACAATGCTTTGACGCATCTGAACCATAGTTGTTTATGATCACCAAATCATTCACAGATCCTTAATAAAATTATAAATTCTTGTGTTGCACTCTGATGAGAATTAATGTGTTTTGCTTATAAGACATTTACCAACATACTAATGATGCACCAATCAGTAAAATATATTTATGTTTAATTAATCATTACCATAGTTTAAATCAGTTTTAATGTCATTATTACAAAGTCTTTACGTAATTTTTATATATTTCCAATGAAATAGCTTGATTTATATTAAAATCAAATCACATCTGTTGTCACATACACAATCATAAATTGTATTGAAATGAATTCCCTGTAATTAACCTATCCTAATCATCAGTGGGCAGCCTTAAGCCTCTAAGCCTTGGTCTGGGGCACTGACATTACCTGGCATACATGTTTTTGATGGTGGGGGAACAAAGCCCCTGTAGGAAACCCACACAAAGAGTGGAGAACATGCTGCCCCAGCCAGGATAAGAACGCAGGTACTTCTCACTGTGAGGCAACAGTGCTACTACTGTGTAATAAATCACAAACTGCTTTGATCACACAAAGGAGCTAAAAATTACTTTCAGAAATGTTGTTTGTTTATAGTCACTCTCCATGCAGAGTTTCAAATTAAGGTCCATATGATCAAATGAGAAATATTGCATTTTCTGTCTCATCTGCGATGAAACACATTTCATAGCTAGAGCATGAAATATATCAAGCAGCACAAGGAAATGAAATGATGTCTGATATCATTGACAGGAAACATCAGAAAGAGCTGGTTAATCATTTTCATATGACAAGACACCATGCAATAAATAAACTCCAATGAATCATTTATTACCACACAAAAGCAGGCTATTCATCGTGTCGCAGCTTTTCTGAAAGTAATCATGTTTTATCATTCAGAGACATTGTAAATCCATCAATGTGATTGTTCTGGTGGGGAAGTTTATACTGAACAGACATTTCCTTACTGTCAGTTTCTCTACTCCCATGAAATTTGTGAAAGGAAATGCATGGGTAGATTAGATTAATGTTAATTTCTGATCTGCAGTGCTTGAAGAGTTCCAGTGACGTAATGACTAAATATGTAAAGTGCACAAAAGCATGAGTAACTTGTAACATGAATAGAATAAGCACTTTGTAATGATGGCAAAACTGCGTTTTTGTTTTTTTTTGCATTTCAGCACTTGTATGTATACATGTTTGTATATCTCATCCTCTCATGCTCTTAGAGTATTAGTGTGTGTGGGCCTTCTTGTCACCTTTTCAATTGAGAGGCCTTGGCTAGCATCCTAAGGAGTGTGTGCACAAACAAAGACACACACACACACACACACAAACAGCAGACAAGGACTGATAATAAAAAGCATGCGGTTGTATTTCACGGGAGTCCTGCCACGTGTTTCACCTTGCAGACTGTCCACTGTAACCTCAAACTGTTGATGAAATGGAATATATTTAGGCAGCAACAGTGTTTCATCCAGCTTCCTATTAAAGCTTGGAAAAAAACTGCACGCCAACAGCTAGTGTCACTTCAGTCACTGCAATGCATTCAGTGCCAGATGAGAAAAAAAAACCCTGAAACAAGCAACTACTAGCTCAATCTCATTATACACAAACAATATGGTACGCTGTGTCATGAATTTACACACAGTTGTTTTGGATATTTGGAGCAGCTGAATTTTATTGGGGGTGGTATTTGTTCTGAAACATAGCTTAGTATGCACTTTGATTTTAGCGTAAGTTGTTTGTCAGAAGCGGCTCCATGGATAAAAAGAATTTGTTCAAGGCTGATTCACATGGGATCATACTATTTCACACTCAGAAATACCAATCTCACACCACTGAAAAGGTAATCACATCTGCAGGAAGTCTCCTCTAGGCGCATACAATTTCCTATGCAGTCATGTAAGGCATGTAAAGCAGCTAAATTGTAATTCACACAACAGCTCTACACTGACTTATTATTGTTGGAAGTCAGATGCACAGAGAGTGAGAGCGAGACGAAAGACAGGCCAACAGAGAGACTGATGTGACACATGGATATATTCAGATGTTTGACTGTGAATCTCTTTTGCCTCGTCGTCTTCTTTCTCCTCCTCCTCCTCTTCTCAAAGCGAGCTATATCTCTGCTAATGACCTGAGGTCCTTCCCTGATTTGGCCTCAGCTATCCAAAGGATTATGAATAATGCATTGACTCTAAAATTGCAAAAGTAATCCTCTGAAATCTCCTTATGTACCCTGGCAGACCACGTTGTCGGTTGCAATTGCCCTTCAGTTCTTCACGCTAAAATGCTGCATGTATGAGCAAAAAAAAAAGCACCTTTAGCAAGAGTTTCATGATTGATTTATTATGACCACAATGTTGTAGAAACGTGGCTTTTTGTAAAGAATGTTAATGGGGGGGGGGGTTG